AAAATGGATTCCTTGATTTTTGTTGTTTATGTTTGGTTCTTTGTTTAAAATGACTATGTTTTTAATAGATATACTATGGTTTTTTTTGAGTTGCAATGGTGAAAAACATGGAATGGTTTTTTTAATGTGTTCTGTCAATCTGGTTTCCAATTTTCTTCCTGTTCTCTGATGTAAAATTCTTAAGCTACTTAGTATAAATAATTGTAGTTTTCTGTCACAGTCTGCAGTTTTTTTAGAAAGAAAAAAAAAGGATAATTTAGATTTATTTTGCATTTTTTATGGTGGTTACAAGGTTGAGTAAACCAACCAAGTTAGGGTAAAGAAAATAAGAGATGAAACATTAATTAATATTTATTTAGGAGGTTTTGGAGGCTACGCAAGTGAAATTTGAAAATTTTCAGATAAAAAAAGTATTTTTAACCTTAACATGAAATCACTTAATTAAAAATCAAATTTTTATTTACAGAAGACTTTTAATTTTTACTGAATGCTTGCCTAATTTTGTGAAGATAAACAAAACATATTAAAAATTATAGTATGGAAACTGATGATCATTTTATGGTTACAAAGTCAGTCACATTGATCAACCCGTTATGGAAAGAGTTAATTAAAATAAAAAGATGGCTTGTTTATAATTTTGGTATGATAAAAAAAAAGTTATTTTTATTGTATGCCAGTGATTATAAACACAGTGAAACTACATGCGCTATTCTTGCAATCAAAACAAGGATAAAATTTACACTTTCGTCAAACAAAACTTTATAGGAAAATTGTTAAAGAATGTAGGAAGGCATAAAAATCAGTGGTTAAAATCTATAACAAAGGTAAGCATTTTTAACTTTCTTAAATGTTAAAATATTACAATGAAATCTTTTCAAAACTTGAAAGCTTCAAATTCATTCAAATATCACATATCGAAATAAGATATTTTTAATATTGGAAGAAGCTGCATAACTTCTAGAAAGAATTTCTGTAGTTTCAAACTATTTCAGGAAGTTTTTTTTTTCAATGCATTAAAACCTTAAAACAAGTACAACAAATTGACACACCTGGATCTTATAGAGTTAATAAAAAAGAAATGCCTAATAAGTAAATTACTATTATCCATTGCAGAATGTGCATGATAGAAATACATGGTGAAATAAATTGTTTTTGAAAAAAGATTGAAAGTATAGGTTGTTGAAAAACTGGTTGAGAAAATAGTTCCTATGTTTGGTCCTATTCAAGCTACTGTAAATATGATTAATAAACAATATCAGATACTTGATATTTCAACATCTGAAAATTTTTAGTTGGATGGAAGTGTTGTTGAAGCATTGGAGATGTTAGGGCTATGAGAAAAGTAACAAAGCATAGTTGCATCAAATGTATTATGAAATAACATCCTCCATGGTGAACATGTGTGAACTAGCATCTTCTGAGAGGTCTATGCAATGAAGGCACTTTAGAAAGGATTCAGAAACTGTTCTTCACCCTCTCAATTATCTCAGAATCTTTCTATTTCTGTAAAACTATCAGCACTGCATTCTTGACAGATTTTCTGGATTGATTAGTTTTAAATTGATGGTCAGATATGGAGCAACAGGTAGACAAGAGAGTAATGTGACTTTTAATCAGTTTCAAATTGGTGTTTAAATATGGAACTGGAGAGGCAGACAATTTATTAATGTAACTGTGTTGTACTAACTGTTAAATATTGTGGTGGGGGTGTTTAATGTGGGGGATAGGCTTGGTCTTTTGATTAGCATGCTGGTTTGTGAATCCTAGAGTTCATTATTTGCATCTCACTTTTACAAAATGACACTTCAAACTTTAAGAGTTTATTAATGTACCATAAGAGTGATGGTCAAATATCACTATTCATATAGAGTAGCTTAAGAGTTGCAGAGGCTGTTGTTTACCAACCTTCTGTCATGTTTTTTAATTCAAAATTAGGGATGGCTATTACAAATGGCCCTTGTGTAAGTATTTGAAACAAAGAAGTACAGTGTGGGTTAAATTCTGTACATTAGGTGTGGGACCTATCTATGAATGCTTGTGGATATAAAGAGATTTTGGAAGAGCATGGTAGAGGGACCATAGTATTCTGTTCAGCAGACTACTGCATTTTTTTAGCAGGATAATTATCACTAACAGTAAACACATACCACCATGCCAAGTTGCAAAGTAACAATTTTCACATCTCATATCTTAGTCCCCAAAATATACAATATCTGGAGGAGATAATTTTGAAAAGCCATACCACAACCTTCCAGTTTTCAGAATATTAACTGATATTTGAAATAATGTTTTAGTTGAGAGTATGCTTTCTGATATAGCAACAAGGTATTCAAGCCAAACTTTCTTCTGTGACTAGATCTTAATATACTTTTGACAGGGTAGTCGGTGAACATACCAGATTTAGCAGTCTACTACTCAGTTCAACTTCTGGTTGAGTTCACTGTGTTTAAGTTTTGGATTGTGTCTTATTTGTAAGTTTTACTTCCTAAAACTTAAAATAAAACTGATTTTTTTCATTGTGAGTGCATTGCATATTTTAGTATGCTTTGTATTTAAAACTGATATGAAATAAAAAATAAAAATGATGCATGTAAACTTAACAAGTGTGTTTTATTACCAGATTTATTTATGGTACAAGCTTAGAGACCATGATTAATATAGTAATTTAATGAATAAAGCAGCATTTTAAGATACAGCTATTGGTTACTTTCTGGATGAAACTTCTTTATTGTTATTAATGTTAACTACAAATCTGTGCCTACAATCTCAGGCAAGTTTTATACAAATGTTAGTTTTAATTAAAAGTTTTGATGATAAGTTAGTAATGTATGTTCAAATTTAAACCTTTATCACAGGAAAAATGTTCTTAGTCAAATGATTGAGTTCACTTCCTTTGATTCAAATCCTGTGGATGAACTTCAACTGGTGGAAAAAAAAATATCACTTTTAAAGAGACGGATATCTGAACTTGAGTCAATCAAAGGTAAAAAGATTATCAAAAAAATTTTTTATTCCAAATCACTTCAGAATTCTGTCAAAACTAGAGTTTTAAAGTTAGAACTCATGGTTTACTCCTCTGTATTTAATTTTATATTCTTAGAGGTACAGTAAAAGTTTAAGCTCAATAAAAACTACTTCCCACCTTGATTTTTACTATATTCCTTTATTCAGGATGTTCTTAGCTAATAAGATAATAACCAGAATAATGAGCACAAAAGTATACTTTGAGATATGAAGTTGTGTATTTTGTGACCCGTAAACTACTGTATTGGCCCGATTATAGGGAAATATTGATTATAAAGCGATCCCCATTTTTCAGAAACAATGAAAAAGAAAAAATTGAGGGTGATAAAGTCCCTTTTTTGGGTCAGCAAAATCAGTACTGTAACTGGACAGCCTGAGAAGGATGTTATCTGGACATTCAGGAATGCAACAGACTAGATTAGGAGGGAGAGGCCTGTGGTTGGCTGTGGTTATAAGGCAACTATGAATTTTACAGCTTAATTATTAATAAAAAAACATCACCTTATAATCTGGCCAATACAATATTTAGGAAATATTTGTTCAACTTTTTTTCAATTGTGTATGTGTGCTTGATATTTAGAACTTCAGTGAAATTAACATAGCTTAATGCATACTGGAGTATAACCATGTCTAACAAAAAGGGAGGCAATCAACTACTAATAAAAAAAAAAAGTTGTTGAGGTAAGTGAAAAGTTTTCACTAGAAACTAATTATTCTTTTCATTTTGTTAGTCATCTAGTACTTTTATATGATACGTATTACTTTGTCAGTTACATTTTCACATATTTATGAACACATTTTCAGGGTGGGAAGATAATTTTTAGTGCTACTTCAGAAGTGAACCTGAACCTTAGAGCAGACTAGCATTTTTTTTTGTTACTGTTATTCACTGAAAAAAAAAAAATTATAACTCCACCTTTTTTAACTGTTGCATCAGAGCTGAAATTTTAAAGTGCAGTTTAACCTATATGAAGGGGATGAATTGAAAAATTGTATGTCATTTATGAAACACGTGTATGAGGAAAAAAGAAACAAAAGTTTGTATGATGAACAAATTGATAAAAAATTAGGGGTCTGAATTTCTACAAGTAGTAGAAACTTTTAAAATTATATTAATTGTTACTTATGGGTATGTGAATTAACTTATGAATATGTAAGTATCTGCTGGAAACTTAACTGAAATGATGATACTCTATGCTCAACATGTATCGTACATGGTTACTTAAATATTAATTATTGGACATATGGAAATATTATTGCATATATAGAGATTTCAGTTCTTATCACTATTATATGACTTATTTATATGAAGCATTTTTCCTACCACTATCCATTGCACACAAATGATAGCTTAAAGTACCTTTGAACTAATATGAAATAAAAATTTCTGTGCGTCTTTGTAAATTTAATATGTTAGTGTAATTCAAATAAAATTTGTCAAAAAGGTCAATATTTTCTTTCTATGTATTGTTTAATCAAACTAGATTAGAACTTCTAAATAAGTACGTGCAATTTGATTAAGCATGTGTCACATGGAATGACAAGAGCATGGGATTTTCAGATTCTAAAACATGATACATTCCTATTCTAGTTGGCAAGTCAAGGCAATGCATCAGTTTACATATCTATATATCATAAAATTAATTTTATATAAGAAAAATTTGTACCATAGATTGTTTAGTGGTTTAAGCATAATTTTGAAACATCTACTGAATGGGGAATTTTTAAATTCATACATCCAGTGTATATTTTAGCAACTGTGTAAACTTCTGACTGTGTATATATCTTTGTACATCCAGTAATACACACTTTAGCAGCTATGTTAAGTTCAGGCTATTTGCATTACTTATTCAACTTGGAATTTTTCATATAGTCTTGTGAAACATTTTCACACTGTAGGTATGTATTCCTCCAAAACTGCTAGTAGTTTAAATTCTAGCCTGTCTATATGGAAGTGTTTTGAACTGTTTTACAAGTAGTAAACACATAATTAACTTCTGATCAGAGCAAGCTACCTATTTAGAGAGAAACTAAACACTTAGGCAGAATAAGGAGCTTTTCATGGATGTTATGTGTACTACCTACAATTGGAATGCAAGTGACACTTAGGTGTAGCAGAACGGTTTTATGGACATGTAACACTTACAAGTTAGATGTATGTAACACTGAGGTGTAGCAGGGAAGCTTTAATGGACATTATATGTACCTCTTACAGGTAGGATGTACATAATGCTTAGGTGTAGCAGAAAGGTTTTAATGGGCTTTATATACACCTCATACAAAATAGCATGCAATACATTTTATATAACTAGAAGGTTTTATATGTACGTCTTTATAAGTTGGATGAAACACTTAGGTGTATTAGAAGGATATTTGTGAACAAAACAAACCTTAATTTAGCTGTGTACAACCTAATATATTTCTAATATAATAGGCCATGCTGCTAGAACTGTTAGAGAACTTGGGTAGATGAATTACCAACAGTGGATACACTTTATAATATGATTTATGATCTCAGGTCTTAATGTTTACAAAGAAACATGGACACACTATCTCTCCGACAATTCATAGCAGGGATATGTATTTTATGAATCATACAAATGCTGACAAAAGATAACTTTGAAAATATAACTGCCTTTTGCAGTCACATTTTTAAGAAGCTAAGGAAAGGATCTATCCCTTCATAATAAAGTTTTAAAAAAGGTTGCTTTTTAGTTACTGTCATTAATTTTAATGTACGGTCAGTAGGAATTAAAATTCATCTTGCAAATATAGTGTTTTTCAATCAGTGGGCAGTATAGATTTGGATTAAATGTGTTTATGATATCTGTATAAATGCTACATGAACATGCTTTGCTTGTTTGAGAGCAACCTGTTAAACTAATAAGTTGTCTGACAGGAATGGCATGTAAAAGTATTTGCAACTTTGGTATAACTTAAAGTTAATATCATTGTGTATTATGTGTAATAGTTATCTTTTCTTGTCCACATACAGGAAAAATAACAATAGAGACTGATGAGGATTCAGGTAGAAATGAAGCTGAAAATATATCCTCTACATGGAAAGAGCACAAAAAACATAACTCAGGTTTAACAGGCTCATCCAAAAAGAACACTGTTTCAACTAAGCAAGGTGAGTAAATAAAACCTTTCTTTTATATCTTTTTAAAGTGTTGTCAGAAATAGTTTTTGTATATTAAAAATTAACTTTTTATATATTTCTTACTGCTTCCTTACTGGTGCATGTGTTATATGGTTTTCACAGAATGAAAGTTACGTATGTTTTGGATATATTCATTTATTATATATGTTTTTTTTGTAATACCTTCAATAAAAATGCCCATGTTCTGTGTAATACTTCTTGAGCTCTAAAGTGAGGGGCCTGGTTAGGGTACTTGCAATCTGCAAGTCATAGGATTGAAATCTTCTAAAACTGTACTTCCTCTACTCACCCAAAGATATCTTCACCTTATTTGCCTTCCAAGCATTGCTAAAAAAAATTTTTCATTAATAGCACACCAGTCTATTATACACCTTTATTTTTGCACCATTTCAGAACATGCATATCATGTGACTACCCTCCACTAATCATACTACACTGCCTATACTAGAACAGGTAGCTCCATTAACTATTCTAGTACAGTCCTCACTTTCACAGGGTGTAGATGTGTGTTTACTTTGCTCCATATGTTTACTTTATTGGATGACAAACCTCTTTCTGATTATTATGTTTTCCTCCCTAGCCCAACATCTGAGTTCATGCTCAACATTTTGCTGATAAATTGCTGTTGGGTGCGGGTATGCCCTGTACCTACTAGTTTGGACAGATATTCTTTGGTTTACCAGCATCTGGATCCTCTTCTCCCCTGGTGGGGCTCAAATCTTGGACTTTGATTCACTTATAAGTTTGATGTAGTGAGGCTACATTCCTCCTTGTCCTTTCTGGCATCTCGTATGTTTTGTCCAGCTGTCCTCGCCCAAGCTTCGTTAGTTTGAATTTTCCATGCCCCTGCTTTTTCTCCCTACCACCTACCCTATTTTAGGCATTCCTATCCTTACCCTTGTTTTTCCTGTTCCTCCAGGGTTTAGCAGTATAGGTGACAGGATGTATTTTCCAGGGCAGGTGGGGACCAGGTTGCAACAGTTCTCAACCATTTGGCATATCATCAGAATGGATTCTATGGGTTTCTGTCAAAGGGTCTTTGCCTTCAGTTCAGGTTCCTTACCTTGTATCCTCTTCCCAGGTTTCCTTTCCTCTTTCTCGGGATCGTGTCTCGTCCAGTCATCTCACCGTGTCGGTTTGGGACCTCCTACACAAAGGAGCTTTTGAACAGGTCATACTCCCACTTATCAGGGATTTTACTCCTGTCTGTTTGTTGTCCCCTAAAAGATGGGGGATTGAAGACCCATCATAGATCTGTCCCAACTAAATACCTTTCTGGAGACACCATGGAGTCCTACCTTTCCTTTTGGTGGTTTTTTTCCCGGAACTCTGGATGAAGAAGTTCGATGTGACAGATGTCTATTCTCACATTCCCATAGCTCCAGGGTCATGTTGTTTTCTTCGGTTCATCTACAAGGGCTGTCTTTCAGTTCTGTGCACTGCCTTTTGGTCTGGCTTCAGCTACTTGTGTGTTCTGTTAAGTGGTTCACTCATTTGCTCATCATCTTCACTCACTGTATCTTCAAACTCATCATTACATGGATGACTGGTTCCTGCTTGCCTCTTCCCAGGCCCAATCAGTCTATTACACCTGATTACTACTTTGTGAAGCTGCTCGGGTTGAGTTTCTTATCAAGTTGGAGAAGTCCCTTCTAATCCCTACACTATATCTTATTCATTTAGGGGTTCTCTTCAATTCACATCTAAGTCAGGCCCAACCTTCTTCACTTTGGCTCAGGGATATGGAGCAGGCAGTCACGAAGGCAGTACATTTGCTTTATCTCACTGCTTGAGAGGTTCTATCTCTTTTGGAGACCTGGGCTTCCTTGGAAGTTCTCATTCCCTTGGATTGACTGGATATGTGTTCCCTTCAGTGGACGCTTATCAAACAGTGGAAGCTCTCCCATGATCCAAGGGATCAACCTATCTCCCTCCCTCCTGGGATCAGAGGTCTGACCTTGCATGGTGGCTCAACAGGGAAATGACCACAGTGGGGGTTCCCAGTCCTCCGCTTCATCCCAAAGTTCACAAATGCTTCCTTGGTAGGTTGGGGAGCTTCCCTCAAATCCAGGGCAATTTCAGGGCAGTGGTCAGTTGTATAAAGTATATTCCATATCAACTTCCTCTAACTTTTGGCTGTTCGTTGGGCTATGTCTCATTTCCTCCCACTCCTCCAGGGGTGGGTGCTGATGATTAATTCCAACCAAGTTCTACCTACAGAGTGGTACCTTCATCCTCATGTATTTCAGTGGGTGTGTTCTCACTTAGAAACCCCATACATAAATGTGTTTGCCACTCACTGGAATGCCAAAGTACCTTCCTTTTAGTCTTCTGTTCCACATCTCTCAGCTCTGGGGATGGATGTGTTCAGTCAGGATTGGAGATATGCCCATCTTCCTCTAAGACTAATCTCCAGGGTCATTTCCATCATCCAGACCACTCCTGGTCGTGTTTTACTAGTTGCTTCGTATTGGCCTGCTCAGCTTTGTCCAGGTCAACCTCGATCGGACATATTTCATCCAGACGTCACCAAACTCCATCTTCAAGCATAGCTTTTGTCCAATCTCTCACCTCAGCTCAGGGACTCGCTCCTCGTGTAGCATCTTTCCTTACCTGTATCATTTAGCTTTCCTCGTAATCTATTGTACCAGAGACATTGGTCTTCTTTCTCAAGGTGGTCCTTTCGCCATGGCTTGTCCTTCTGTTCATCATCTGTCCCACTTTCTTACCTGGTTGTTTGATCAGGGTTTGTCCATGTCAGTAGTTAATAGTTGGTGGGCTGCTCTTTCAAACACATTCTGTTTTTCCCAATTTCGTAAAGCTTTCACCTCCTCGATTATTTCCATCTTTTTCTGTTCCTTTCGTCTTGTTCGTCCTTCACGTCCTTTTGTTCTTCTTGCTCTGTCTGGTTCTCCCTTTGAACCTACTGCTATGTGTTCCTTGTACCATCTTTCCCTTAAGAACTGTTTCCTTCTCCTCCTGGCATGTGGTCATCGTCGTTCCGATGTTTATGCCATTAATGTTTCCCATATCCTTTACCATTCCTCTTATTTTATCCTTTATCAGGATCAGGCCTTCCTTCCTAAGATAGCTGCTACATGTAAGGTTGTTTCGTCTTTTCTCCCATTTTCTTACCATCTATTTCCAACCTGTATTCATATTTAGATCTGGATAATCTTCTCTGTCCTGTGCATTCCCTGCATTGTTAAGTGTCTTATACCATCTCCTTTTGTGGCTTCCGTTCTCGCCTATTTATTCCCTGGAATCCCTCTGTTTTCTGTAACCTATTTCCTGTTACCTTTACTGGCTGGGTTTAGCAACTCATACGGCTTGCGTATCCTGACAGATCCATGGAAGATCTCTGGCTGCTCAGTGTTTCATCATACCAAATCCGTTACTTAACTATGTCCTTAGCTACTCAAATTTGTCAGTCTTTGGAGGAGATCATTCAAGCGGGTATGTGGATGACTCCCAACACATCAATATCACACTATCTGCACTGCTTGCCTTTGACTGGGGTAAGTTGACATGTTATTATCTTTTTCAATTAATGTACATTGTATTTCAGGATCACACCTAGTGGTGGGTGTTGCCTGGTCAGGTATGCTGAAAATTTGATCTTTTTAATAAATCAGTATATTTCTAAATGCTCACTGTAGAAATAGTATATTTCTTTAAGACAAATATATATATATATATCAAACTTTTATTATTCATATACAGTTTATGGTCCTTTAGCCCTAGTCACTTATCCCTGTTTCACATTGTCTGGCACCTTACTATGACTAATTATTCCTGTATCACATACTATGACCTACTACATATATGGACAAATAATACAGTATCTGTTGACAATGGGCTGATTCTGAATTATCAGACGAAATTTCATCTTACTACTTATTTATGATGCTTCCACCCTATATATATATATATATATATATTACCATTTTGTTATTGGGCGAGGAGCATACCTGTTCCAGAAGTAGTGCTATATCCCACAGGTGTGCCTTACTTTCTTCTTCTGGCACACCTGTTCTTTTCAGTGGTTGTTATTTGCTTACTTGAATACTGTCGTGCCTTCACTGGCCCCTCCACCTTTTTCATGTGAGATTCTAGCTTTGGGTGAGAGGAGGTAGTACAGTTTTGGAAGTTAACATTTTCCTACACTGAAAATGTATTTCTGATAGGTATTTTCCTCCCCACTGATATGCCAGTGTTTTAGTTTGTAACTGCCAATTCTCGAAAGTGAGGATTGTGCTAGAATAGTAGAGGGAGCTACCTGTGCTAGTATAAGTGGTACAGTATGATTGGTGGAGGGTAATCACATGATATGCACCATGTTCTGAAATGACACAAAATTAAAGGGGTATAATAGACTGGTGCAGTATTAATGAAAAAAAAAGCAATGATTAAAGAGCAAATCAAGGTCGAGATAGCTTTGGGTGAGGGAGGTGGCTATTAGAAATACATTTTCCATGTAGAAAATGTTATCTTTCATGAGACAGGTTTGCCATTTCAGTCATGGGGGAAATGTAATATGAAGGGTAATCTCACTATTCATTGACAAAAAGTAACCCAAGAGCTGGCAGTGGATGGTGTTGATCAGCTGCCTTCTATCTAGTCTATTATTTCAACCCCTCTCTTTCAGTGAACTACCAAACAAAGGTACCTATACAACTAGTAAAGACAGCTAACTTTCTTCAAAAGGATTCATCTTCTGGTGGAAGAGCAAACACCCTTTAATAATACCAAAAATCCTTGATCCATTCATGCATACACACTTTACCACAAAGTAATTAATTTAATGAAGTTGTTTTTTTCTCCATAGAATTATCATGGGGAGTTGATCTGACTTGGACAAAATATGATACAGACAAGAGTGTGTATAAGTCAAGAAAATCTTCAGAATCTGGAATTATTGACCAAGAGAAGAAATGTTCGGACAATATGAATGATGAAAATGGAGATGTTCTGAAAATGCTTAGAGAAAAACTCAAAGAACTTCAAGATAGAGAGCTGCAAAAAAAACAGGAGCTTGATGAAAAGTCAAAGGAAGAATGCTTAAATAGAAATTTTAGTGCTAAAACTGCAGACCTGTTGCCTGTGTCAAAAGTGTCACCTGTTATGCCTGTGACTCCCATGGCTGTTACTCAAGCTCAGTCTAAGTTTTTAAATCAAGTTGGTCCAGCATATCCTTCTGCTTCATTTTTTCCCATGATTCAGCAACAGTTTCACCAACTGCCCTACAATTCACTTCCCATGCCCCAAATGCAAGTATTTCCTTTCGTACACCAAACACCAGTTTACCCAAACCAGAATGTTCAATACAGAGGAATGGTCAGCCATGTTCCTGCAAATGTTGGTTTTCAAGGTACATTTCAAAATATTTCAACAGTTCCTGGAAACTTCCCACACCAGAATTAAATAAAAAGTTGTGAACTAGATACTTATGGCAGTCCAAATACTTCATTTCCACTGCACTATTCATTGTGGTCTCCTAAAACATGACTGTATAATTGATTTTAACATAACTGTTCTTAATTAGTTCACACAAATCATTGTAATTTCACACCTGTATAGGGCTAATGGTGACAATAATTGCAAGTATTAATAGTAACTTTCATTTTATTTTTCATATTTTTATTTATGATTTAAGTGATAACTGATTCATTTTCAACTTGGTACTTTCTTTTACATTAGGATTTGTTGAATGAAGGTGTTCAACATGATGTGAATGTTTTGTTGGTAATTGCATCGTGTTTATTAAAACTTTTGTATCTTTTTGTGTTTCATAAAAGAATGAAAGCTTGTATGTGAAGATGACTGTATAAAGAAATACATACATCAACAAATATTTTATGTTCAATATATGTTTTTCCATATGTGTTTTATTTGCATTGACAGATTCAGTGGATGATAATCTTAACTACAAAGAGAGAGGAACTGCTGAAGCAAAGGGAGAATATTAATTTTTAATCAGCGTTTCATAATATTCCCATTTTACACTATTGAGATCTAAGAAAAATGTCATTATAACATAAAACAAGTATAAGATTAATATACAATAATGTGTAAGTATTATACAAATGAAAAGTTTTAATTGTTTGGTTTTTATTTCATCCAAAAGAACATAGAACATTAGGTTACATTATTATCAGTTACTATAAAGTAAGAAAAGAATAAAACAAATATATAGATGAAAAATAGAATAAAAACTAACATAAATTAAGCAGGGGGGGGGGATACAGTGACTTTTTTAGAGTTGTATTTGTTCATCACAAGGTTTCCTTTAAAAATTAAGCAGGGGGGGGGGATACAGTGACTTTTTTAGAGTTGTATTTGTTCATCACAAGGTTTCCTTTAAAATTAAGCAGGGGGGGGGGGATACAGTGACTTTTTTAGAGTTGTATTTGTTCATCACAAGGTTTCCTTAAAAAGCATTTTAATGTTTGCTAAAAACGAGCCCACCCCATCCAATGTTAATTTTGCAGGCTTATAAGGATAACAATTGGGTTTCAATCCCCACGTTGGACAGAGCTAAATAGACCATTGTGTAACTTTGTGCTAAATAACAAACAAACAAAAACTAGGACATTACTCCATTATTATTTAACATGAAAAAATAAAACATAAAAGTGATTAATTTTGATCAGATACTTATTTATGTAGATGATAATCATAAGGCAAAGAAGCAGTTTTATTTACATCTAGAATTGATAACATAAGAAATTATTACTTGTAGTGTATGCTGGGTGAACCACAGAATCATCAGGGTTACAAGCAAAACAAAGCATGTATACATTTCCAAAACCTTTTCAAAAATACTAATTGTTAAGAACAGTCAATTAAACGTGTTTTAAAGACTAACAGCTTTATAAAGGACAAATTAAATATCGAAGAACAAATACAAATTTACAAAAATATTAAGTTGATTACCCCGACTAGTTTTGACGTACTATGTATACTATGTGTGTACAGCGACATCTAGCTAGTGATATTTTCTCCATCTGATGTATGAACACTCGCTAGATGTCGCTGTACACACAGTATACCCATGAAAATGACGCACGTGGTACGTCAAAACTAGTCGGGTAATCAGTTTCATATTTTTTGTAAATTTGTGTTTGTTCTTCGTTACTTAATTTGTGTTTGTAAGGCTGTTAAATTAACCATTATAATATTTGTAGATAGCACAAAGTACTATTTAACTTGATTATTCAGTTAAATAGATTGAGGAAAACCTTTATTTCAATGATAGAATTACTTTGTATAGATAATAAGTAAATATTTATGTAATTAATTTTACTCCTGTCAGTCTGATTGCCCAATAAAGATAGATAATGATGCTTCTTCAAGGAGATAAAATTTTGGAGACAACAGGGAGCGACATTACTAATTATTACTTTTTGAGGAAGGAAGATCGTTTGATTATTAAAGATGGTCTCTTGGTCAACAAATACCATGTCTTTGCTTTTTATAAATTTAATATTCTAGGTTTGACACACACACTAGCCTATGGGGTGGGTGTGCCCTGGTGATTAGAGTGCCACACTGTGAATCCAAAGGTGCATTCTACATTTTGAGGCCTTGTTTGCATTATAACAGTTACGGACAAAGCCCACTATTCGGTTAGAGTTGGTGATGAATACTGTTGACGTATTGTCTTTCTTCTAGCTAATCAGTTAAAAACTAGGAATGGTTATTACAGATAAATATTGTGTAGTTTTGTACAAATACCTGAAACAAAAAGAAAATAATTAGTGAGATTTTCGTTCACTTATTTGAGGATGCCCTTGAAATCAATAGGCCTAACATTTGTGACAAAAAAAATCACACAAGCTTTAGATGTTTTTATAATCCTCTTACTTTTAGGTGTTTTTTATCACAAATGTTAAAATATAAATCTGTTTCAATGTTGTTGAAGTGTCCTTTACACTTGATTACTCATCATGCTGTTTCAATCAGACAAACATTGAACGGGACGTATTACAGAAAACAGGGCGCGAAGGGACCCGCGAGCGTTTGTGGGGGGCTCAGGGGGTTATATTGGCTTCATTAGCCTTCCCTCCTCTCTGTTCGGAACATAGCTAAAGGAATTAGATTACCAAATGAATTCAAACCAAAGTTGGGCATGATAAGTTTGCAAACACATAAAATGAATATTTGCACATAAAACCTTTTTATTGTCCACTGAATCCGCCACAAGGGTACAAACAAATCGAGACAGTGCACAACAACGCAAGACATAAAGTTAGGAATCTAGTTGAAATGGCAGGAGAACATTGTAACGTGTAGTACTATGTGACAGTAAAATAAAAACGGAAACTTATTAACGAAAAGAGCAAGAAACAACAACGTACCCATTTGGTAACTTATCAAACTTGTTTCTTTGGGGGATGTACTACCAGGGGCGGATTGGGACACCGGGCAATTGACCAGTGGGTCAGTGCATTTGTCGCATTCTCAGAAGTTGATTTTAAATTTCAACTGTTTAACCAGTATGTGATATCGACCGGGCTGCACCCTTTAATACTGATCCGCCCCTGAATACTACTACAGTATATTGAAATTACACGAGCCAAATAAACGGGGCATTTTAAATTTCGTTAAGTAGGAAAACTATTATTAACGACACAACTGGATAGAGCGACTGCTCAAGGTTCAAAATTCAATAATCTTGCAAATTATTTATTAAGGATAAATAAAATTTTCAACATTATAATAAAAGTTATACAAAATTAATGAATTTATATTTCTAACATTATCTAGTTTTAATATGTGTATTTCATAAGAAGAACAAGGGAGACATCATGTTCGAAAGCTAATGCTTTGAGGTGGAATTTTTTGAGAAGGGGTAACTCGTCTTTATATAAATTCTCAAAATTCAGATCTAATTTTTAAATGAAATGAGCCCCTCCCGTGGTTCAGTGGTATGTCTAAGGGCTTATAACGCTAAAAATCAGGTTTCTATACCTGTGGTGGGCAAATGATTGATAACCCCTTTGTGTAGCTTTGCGCTTATCAATAAACAAAATTAAATTGCAGCATATTAAATATCGTGTGTAACGTAATCTGTTAAAAACCGTAAGAGATAAGATTTGTTCGAATATATTTATGATAAAGTACTTTGAATTATGTTTGGATTTGAAAGGTTGTTCGCATTATAGAAAAGTTAATATAAAAATTACATGGGAATTGCCCCACAGTGGTATCTCTACGGACTTATCCTGCTAGAAACCGGGTTTCGATACCCGTAGTGGGCAGGGCACAGATAGGAGCTATTATGCTTGATAACAAATAACAACATGGGAATTGTGATTTACACCTACTAGGTGGCGGCGCAAAGAGCAACTTAACGTTTTTTTCAACCTTTATTTTATAAAAAACAACATAATTTCTCATAGGTGGTGAGTATCCCTACATCAGCTGTATAATTTTTAATTGTTTTTGTCACAAAGCTTCACAATGGGCTATATGTACTCTGTTCACCGTGGATATCGAAACCTCATTTTGAGCGTTGTAATCCTTGAGACTTACTGTTGAGCTACCGGGGAGCTCAGCTGTGTACATTTACGTTTGACTGTTGTTGAGAGCAAAGCTACACGATAGACTATCTGTGCCACGGGCATCGAAACTCGAATTTTAGCTTAGTATGTCTGGGGGGGGGGCTGTGTACAGGATATATATAATGTTGTTTAATGTATGATATATGATAAAACATGTTTCTGATTTGTAAAAAAGAAACAAAAACTGATTCCACATATTGTGCTCATTGAAACGGACAACACTTTAAATTGTAATTTGAGGTTTCCCAAATAAGATCGCTTACTTGAAATGTTAAGTTACGCTATTACAATAACGAGGATACATAATGTTATATTCTCACTGTGAAATTTCCAAATACGGTGGGTATTTCTGGTTCTAAAAAAAATATGTATACAAACTTAGTTTTAAATAGTACATTAATAAATGTTTGCAGTGGTGTTATTCCTATGGTGAAGCACAATTGTTATATTATAAACAATATCATGTAACTGGGAACGAAACACTAACTTTAGATTTTGTTTTTGCTTGTTCTAAAAGGGAGATATAATTTCTAAACCAAATTGTTATTAATATAAAAAAATAACAATGACTTCATAGCTTATCTGTGGGCTTTTAACAATGTTTCATGTAAATTAATGTTTGAATATAATTATGCTTTGCCAATGCGGATAAGGCGTTCACACTATAACACTTATAATTGTAATAAATGGCTTATAGTGTTCAGACAACTGCTGTATTTGTTGTGTTCCAGCTTGCCTTATGAACTCTGGATTGAGCGAAACCCGTCGTCGGAAATGGATATGGCGAATATAGTGTAACGACAGCGGAAGTCACGTGATGAGTTTCTAAAAGGATCATGAAGGCCCGAATGTTTGCCAGACACCCCCTATTTTAGTATATAAACCCGGCACAATTGCAGATAGACAGATATAGAGACAAATAATTGAGTCAAGCGAGCGGTAATGACCGTAAGTAAAGTGCGTGAATCGTTGTGAATTATAGCGTGTGTTAAGTTAAAGTGACTGTGGAAATTCTGTGTATTGCAAAGTTGTATTGAGAAAGAATAAACTAGTTTTATTTAAGAAAAGACTTGTATCGCTAAAGTTCCTCGGGAAGAATTTATACCGGAAATTAACAAACGACTAGAGACGTAACAAATTTGTGTCAGAAGTGTGATCCCAGACATGAGTGTCAGCAATAGGAGTGATCTTGTACGAAGGAAGCCACAGGAATTCGGTGGAAAGGCACCGTGGGAAGCATATAGAGCACAATTTGAGCTCCTGGCAGGAATGAATGGATGGACAGAGG